AAATCCCTCCCTCCTTTTCTGTCGCGATATATTAATCTGCGAAACAGGAGACGCCTCTGCCCGAGAATTACCCTGTCGCGTTTCCCGTAGCAAGAAACGGAAGAACCGGGCTTTGCGGCTGACAACCGTGTCAGTTTGCCTGTACAGGGAAGGCGCATCGGTTTCCGAGGTCGAGCCTGCGGGACAGCGGAAAGGGCGAGTCGTCCGACTCGAGGGGGATGCCGAGTAATTCGGCCAGGTCTCCGGTTTTCAGGCTGATGGAGTTTTGATGCTGTTTGGGGATACTTGATTCGATTAACGTTCGTCGTGAGCTCGGGTCGGTTTGACGCTGAGTCGTGGCCAGATCTTGGAAAAGGGGATGTTATGGTTAAATATTTGGATTGTATAGGATTACGTGGTTGTACGTGAAAAGTGGCTTTTTCATAGGTTAATCCAATCATTCTTTCTAATTACTTATTTACAATAGCGAGGTTGAAAGTTAATAAAGGGAAGAGAATTTTCGGTCGGTTGAACGTTGGTGGTATCATGGCGGACCATGTTATGGTTAAATATTTGAGTTGTACAGTATCAAGAGAAGACGATAATATTTTAAGAGAGATTATATGAAAAATAATCCACGACAAACAGAAAGAGGGGCAATATTTCAAATGAAATCTCGTAAAGCTATTCTATGATTATTCGTCACGTAGCGAAAGTTGGAAAAATAAAGATGAATAAATGGGTTCTGCATGTAAAGCGACACGCAGAAGACGAATGGAGATAGCCACATCCTTTCAAACGCATACCTGAATAACTTTTCAACGCGTAAATTGTTTCAGAATAAAGAAATTATAAAGGAGAAAGCCGAACAATTCCTTAATCGTATTATTTTAATTGAATTATTTCAATTAAATCTATGGTTAAATTAACGACGTTGCATATGCATCAACCTATTTAATCGAAATATCTGTGGATCGTAGTAATGTAAATCTAATCTCGGATTGGCAAAATTTGATTGGGAATTTGATGTAACAATAAAACAGTAACAATGGAAATGTAACGTCAAAATGTAAGTTCCATCGGGATTATTGAATGGTCTGCAGCCGCCTCGGATTTGCACCATAAGCGACTCTGCTGTAAGCCATACGGCGCCAATTTCACGAATTCATATTTGGTACATATGTAAGTACATGTATATGTATTCGAATGTTTCGTCGAAACCAATCCGTACCGCTTCGTAGATTTCTATGTTGTGTTAATAAAAGATGGTATTTATTTTACTTAGAATCGGGCTACTGTTCCTTCAAATGTTGTTCCTTGAAAAAACCCTTTCTACTCTTCTCATCTCATCTCGTCTTTTTCTACAAAAAGGTCACGTTTCAAACTTTCCCTTACTATCATAATTTTCATGTTTAAATATTTTACACCATATATATGTGCCCTTATATTATTATTGCCATTAAAACTATGAGAAATCTATTTGGAATTTAGACTATTTTAACTAGAGATGAACTATAAAATCATAGTGACCAGTATCACGGCCATAAACATGATTTTCTTATCTCGAGTAGATTTGCTCGCTATGGTCGTAATTCTTGATTTTTTGTAAAACACTACAATATAGCTTGCAGAAAAATATCTGTATATAATGTAAATTTACTTTGTAACTGTAATATTAAAAGTAGAAAATAATTTACTTTTCTTTTCTTTATCTTGAATCGATATCTCAAAGAATAAAATATCAATTCCTCCTTTCGATTCCTGTCGTAACATTCATTTGATATCGTTAATACAAAGTATACAGGTTGTGTGACGCGCGTAAAGAATGGTTATGGTTTGAGAGAAAAGCAATCACGGAAAATCACAAATCTCTGTGAAATCTCACTGTAATTAGAAACGAACGTGATCATTCGTGATTCACAAATAGCATCTATAATTTTGTCTCTAATTTTAATTATACGTAATAATACGATATATTCGAAGTAGGTTTCCACAAGTGTTCAAATATTTTTCCGATGAAACCACAAAATATCCATTTGTACATTTCAACGCTAGGATCACCCGCACTGAAAATTGCCTGTACCGTCTTTCGAAACGACTTTGCAACTTGCTTGTCTGTAGACAGAAGCTCGATTCCATAGTTCGCATGAACCAGGTTGGTGGAGTTTTAATAATAGCGACATTGGAGCGAAAGTTTCGCGCATAGCGAATGGACAAAGGTGTGGAACAGAGCGAAGAAACGGATCAGACGTGCTTATTCGCGTACTCAGGTCGCACGAGTAAGAACCTGGCGATATTCGTGAAATTGAAACGAGGGGGTCGCAGATTGCAACATCTGGTTTTTCCGTGTCGCGAGAGGACAAATTGCGCGCGACCCAGAAAACCTCGCGAAACACAAAGACGCATCTGCATGTGCATACAGATCGAAACACAAAAAAATTCCGACCGAAAGCTTCGATAATTGCGTTACAATACATGTTCTGCGATGAAATTATGTGACCGGAATTCGAACAGGAATTTTTCGTTTCATTTGAGATCGATGGAAATTCACGAGAGAAATTTTTGGCATTCGTTTAGATTTAATTACACGCAGTGCTTTTATTCGAGGAACTGATCGCTAAAATTTATATGCAAATATGGAGCTGCTGTTTTAAATCTTTCATCTATTAACTTGGCGCGTATGAAATGTTTATTTTAAATGAAATTTTTGTTGCGCGTGGTTTCTTTATTAACCGTTTAACCGAACTAATTTTCACGCCATTCAATATACTTTCTCGACGATTAATTAGTTCCGTTATGCGAAATTAATAAGAGTCATTGGTTCTTGGAATGCAGCTGTGGCGGTTTCATTCTAAATAGTTTTCCACATTTCTATTATAAAGATTTTTCAAATGAAATACATGCGATTTATATCTAATTTTTCCTCTTCTATGTTACACAGTTTATGTGTTTGTAATCGATTTAATCGAACAAAATTAAATGAACAGTATTATCCCATCAAATTGAAACTTCGGAGAAACATTTCATACGCACGAACCTAATAATCAGTTAGGATTAAACATTGCTGCTTTACGCTCTTACCCGTGTCAGGATAAATTTTATGTGAAATGGAACCGCAGACGGTTTTCAACAATAACAAGTGGAAAATTAATTATTCGAATATTTCAATAATCATCTCGCGCAGGTGTTTAAAATGTTGGATCGGCAAATAGACCATTAGGAACGAGTATACATATAATTATGCTGGAAATGCAAAACGAATAACATGAATAATCATCGTGGAACGAGTTCTGAATAATCATTTGCCAACCATGGAAATAATGCAGGTATATTCCAGCCGCAGGAAAGGCACGAGATAAGCCAGCTCTGACCCGGGTACTTTCAGTCATTCGTTAACTGCAAGTATTCCATCCCAGAAATGAAATTTCCTAGAATTTTCGAAACGACAGAGATCCTTTCTTTCACCGTGGATAACTGAATTCGCGTCTTCTGGTTTTGCAATCTCACATTTTCTTTTCTTTTTTTCTCCAGAAAGTGCAAACTCGATTACGATGTTTCTTGATGAACGAGAAAACCTTGCTACGGCACCAGAGTTACTATCGCGCGACGAGTAACGTAGAGATTGTTTCTAGTTCTTTTAATTTTTACGCAACTTTCCTACCATTTACTACATTTTGTTTTGCTTTTTTAAAGATATACGAATGTTCACCGAGGCGAGAGAAAATTGCAGAGAAATTAAAAACGATACGATAGCAGAGGGAAGCGAAGGACGAAAGCGTCTGAGCGAAACTAGCACTCTGATTCCTCGAGGCGCTTTCGAATCGAGCGTCCACTACGTCGAAATACGTGGCGTTGTTAAAATTCCTCAGCATTCAGGGTTCAATCGCGCTTCAACGTTTTATAATTGAATTCTACTGCCTTCTTCGAGTTTCGTGGAATGTCCCGATCGCGAGTTCCTAGCCTAACTGTTTCTCCCCTTTGCCTGATCATCTCAAGCTGATCCAGATCTTCAAAACTTTGCTGTTTCCGTGCGACTCGCCCTCGGAAGAAAGTTGAAACGCCCTGCATAAAAGATATCTGCGCGTACGGCGAATGTCGTGGAATGCTTCGCGAATACCTGACCAATTATCGTGGCATGCATTTTTCAACGACGAGTTCTTTGCCGTGCTTTTTACCTCGACGAGAGATTGTTCAGCGATACGCCTGGCTAACGTATTGTATATCATTTTTTATGACTCTCGTAAGTCTTTGAGGAATATTTTTTCCAGGTATCACTATACAGGGGCATTAAATGTATCGTAAATCTTATCGTTAGTAGTAAATATATATAGGATATATTTTTGAAGATTCGTCTTTAAGGCTATCACATTATTCAAAACGATTGAAGAATCGTTTATTATATTATTTCGATTTTTCTACCCATCCTTTTTGTAGCTCAATATGTTTTTCGATAACTAACCCGTAGGAATTCATAACACAATATAGGAGTTTTTTGTTTAATTGATACGATAGAATCCTTCGAAGTATTTTTTAATTATTCTGAACGCTATATTTGAGTTTAAAAAAATATACGTGTATTTTGAACAAACAAAAAAAGATACGTGATACCTAGTTGATAAAACGAAACGTACAGATCGCGCTTCTTCTATAAAAGTAAAGAATATTCCATAAAGAAACCCAATTTGACGCGTCATTCACATTACCGACAAAGAACCGAGCCAATTTCTCCATTCTTTGCTATAAAGGATTCGTTTGATACTTTTCCTTGTGTGTATCTATTCCTAAAACGGTTTACAATTCGTCGTGTGTTAGCCAACTCAATCGACGAGTTAAACGAAATCCAATAAGTATCTCTCTTCCATACGCGATTGCTTCTCGTTAAGAATTCGCCTGGTCAATTCCTCGTTAAAATAACATTACAAAGAAATTCGCCACGCTACAGAGCAAGCCGAACGTTTCGCCTCGTCTCGTCAGAGTCGAAAGGGTGAATTAATTAGGAAATTCAGCGTTTCATAACTTACGATCGGACAGGACTCGAACGGTGAAAGGGTCTTCAAGCTCTCCTCGAGTGCCTATTGAACCGCCGCCGCCGCGACCAGCACTCCTCAAACACTTCAACTCCGAGAGGCAATATCTCGTAATTGGACTATCATAATGGCGTGCTCGATGGACCCGGCGAAGAAACGTTTCCAAATTAAAACACCTCTATTCGGGACGTATCGCGCCTTTTCGAGAGACTTTGTGGATTTCGATGAATTCTTGGATATTTTCTTCGTGGATATTTGAGATTGGAATTTCCTCTTTTCTTGCCTCGTTCTATTCCGATTCGTTTTATTTGCAATTTTATGGACAATTGGAAAATCTCGATAATTTGTTACAGTCGTGTCGCGGATATTGTTTAGTACTTTAAAAGCAGCCGAGGGATTTCACGGATTTTGTTGGATTTGTAGATGTTTTATCCGTGCTTAGAATTGGAATTTCTTGCTTTTAGTTTTGACGGGAATTACAAGATTGCGAAGAGTATTTTAAAAGTATCGTAGATGCAATTGTGGAACTTTTTTGTCGCACGTGCTTGGGTTTCGGATTTTTCCTGACTTGCCGTATCTTGTCGCATCTCTGGCTATTGTCGTGTCTAATTTAAAATTACAATTTCTTTCGCAATTTTTAATTCTATTAACATTCGAAAGATCAAGATAATCCATACTTTAGACATACTACAATATTAGATATATTACGTTTTAATGTTTTAATTGAATGTTTTATCCATAGCTAGAACTAAAACTCTCTCGTTCTCTTTCATTTTTATAAAAAGAGAAAATCGATAAATATACACGTATAATAGCTTCAGAAATTCTCTAGTGTATTAAATACCATCTGGAAAATGGCTTTTAAAGTTTCATCATGGATTGCATTAAGCTTTAAATCCTGCGATTTCTGGCCACAGCCCTGAAAGAACGCTTACGTCAACGCTTTCTCTCGTTAATGTCGTTAATTAAATCTGGCGCGGCCGTTGCGCCCCGTTGCAATCCGATTTCGATCGCGGACGCGTAAGAATTACACAGCGGCTTCTGTGTCTGTCACGAATAACAATGTATCGTTACGATTAATTACCCGGATTCAGTTCATTAGGACACCGGCGTGTTTCGCATATGCTTTAATTAATGCAATTTACTTGCCAGAATCCAAAGAGGCAGACAGAGACGGGGCGATGATGGCCAGATAGAGGGGAGTGGAGGGTGGAAGTGGCCGCTACAAAAGGAGTTTCATCCAATTACGATTTCATTCCACCGTTCATCAGGGAATTCTTTCGTTCCATCTGCAACAATTGTGAAAAATATATTTCATGTAGCCCTTGTGCCTTTAAAGTGGTCAAACTTTGTATTTCTAATAATTTCTTTCAATCAGAGTTCTAATTAACAAAGTAGTTCGTTTCTTTCCGACCTCCGACGAAACAGAAAATTCTATGATTTTAATCATTCTTAATTAGTTTTACTAAAATAAAAGTTTATAGAGCAACAGAAAGTTTAGAGGTTCGCAATACTGCACAAACTTCATCAAACCTTATAATGTTACAACTCCAATGCCGACCTCAACTCCTATTCCTGTCCACTCAAACTCACCCTTAAACTTATTATTTCCTCTGGACTCTAGGTCACATTTTCCTTTTCCTTCCACTAATTAACTTTCATCAAATCTCGTAGTTTCACGACTTGAAGATTACCCACAACATCCATCCTTGGCCATTCATCCCGAAAACCATCAATTTGTCCATTCCGATTCAACACTCATTCGCTTTTCCTTGCTCTATACCATATAAGCTCTGTCAAAACTCGGAAACTTCGAGCTATACAATTATTCCGAACAATCGCCTTCGCCTGCACAAACCTACCTTCAAACCTATCGTTTCCTTGAGTTTCCCACTTTCTTCCAACGTATCCCAAACTTCATCAAAGCGCAAAACTTCCTTCAACTCCAAAATCATTCTCAACGACCACTCTAGCCTACTTAAAGTCCAACATTTTCTCGATTCCAGCTCTCGATCACCTCCTTCATCACCCTACCTTCTCCTACCTTCCAATCTGCAGCGAAAGGAGGCACCAATCTTGGCGAATTCTTTCCACGAGCGGATACGACGCGCTCGTGGGAGCAGCTGCCCGGAAACAGCGTCTATCCGCGAGCTCCTGATTGGTGCATGTTACACCTGTGCCATCGTGTGCATGTGCACACGTAATATTTAACGCGCGCGCGTACTCCCGTGTCTACGACAATGGGGCTTGGCAAACAGCTTTTCACGCTGGTTTCCTCTCGCTCGGGCACATTAAGCGCACCCGTGTAAATTTCGTGTACACCTGATTGTTCGCGTGTTAACGCGGCCCAGAGCCGTATGCATATATATATACAAATACACATATATGTATACACATATATATATACATATATGTAACGCGGGAATCGAGCGGAACGTATGTACCAAGCCCGGAGAACATCCATGACAATCGCAGTTCGTTTAAGAGCGACGTCGACGAGCGGCACACGGTGACGCGTACGCAAGCGTAAAACCGAGTTTCCGGTTATTCGGATTATATTCGAAGACGTAACGATTGGCGCGACGATTTCGACCAGAAGAAGAAAGCTCGAGCGAGCTGCGTGTCTCAGAAACGAAATTTACCCGTTTCTTTATGGGGCCGTTGTTTAGGATGGAAACTATAGACGCAGATAATATTAATAACATATAACGACGAATAACAATGAAATTGTGGATTTTTATGCACCTATATGAAACTTAAAGCTGCACGAAGAAGATAGAAGGCACACAATAGAAGGAAATATAGGAAATGTTCAAAGTAGGATACGAAATGTCAATAATATAACAATTAGTAATTAGAATTTCTATGCATTTATGTAGATGAAATTTACGTGATAACGTAAAAATGCACAGAATGCGTACGATATACGAATATATAGAGAATAAGTAGATTACTGGTCTTAATCTTTGTTGAAGTGGTTACCACTTCTAAGAAAACTCTACATCTGGTCTTTTTAGTTTTCTCAAGCACTGAAGCCATCGATAGCGTGTAGACAAAAGACTGCGACGAAGACAGACCATAAACAGTAGATAAGCGACGTTGGCTTCGGGGTTTTCAGTTATTGGGTAACACAGTTAGCGTGCGGATCTGGACCAGCTCAAATTGTATTCTTACTTATAATTACACTGCTATTTAAATATATTTTTTGCCTTACAATTTATCCACGAGTTTTCTCCGTTTACACATCGAATAACCTCAACAATCTTGAATAAGTGAAACGAATTTTTATTTAAGTTTTACCTTTTCAGTTGCGTCCAAAAAAATATAAATTCGTATAAGAATCCGCGGTGCGTTGAAATTGTTGTAGAATATTTTTCGTGCCACCCAGGACTTCTAATAATTTTGAAGTGTCGTTGTAACGGTCCTCTCACAATGACCATCGTAATTAGCAGTTCTTATAATTTACATCCTCGAGTGTTGCTTCTACACGTTGGTGGAATTCTAATTTGCAAGGGTTCATTGTTTCGTTTGGGACGCAGAATTCTTGTAATTCACAGGGTTGCAAGGCGTTAATTTCTCGATTTTGCCTGGCTGACAAATTTTCTGCCCTAGTTTGGCTTGCTTCACCGTGAACAGCGGCTAATTTCGTCTTAACCGCGAGTCTGCTTTGAGAGTTCTATTTCTGTTTTGGAGTTCAACGAAGAGTTTCGGACGTTCTTCGGATTTGGCATGAACAAGTTTTAAAGAAGTCGACGGCAATTAGTTTCAAATGTAATTTCCACGCTTATGATACAATCTTTGTCGATATCTTAACAAGTTTCGCTGTTCTACGTAGAAAACTTGTGTTTCCGCGTTATCAAGAAAGACAAGGGGACAGAAGTTCTACTCGAACCTGATTGATTTTCTTCTACCAACGATGGCGACCGAGTTTTATCGTAATGATAAAGTAGATTTCAGAAACTATCGCTTGTTACAGATCCCAGTGATTTTAGTTTTGCGCCAGATACTTCGCGGAGAGCGAACTTGATAGAAAGGAAATGAATTTCCTTACATTAAAGAGGATTCTTATTGATTGCGATCGATCGTTATTTAAAAACTTTCTAATTTTACCATTAACCATATTTGACAAAGATTTTATGAAATCCGGTAGACATTCTTACATAGAACTGCAGAATATTTTAATCTCGAATCCTTTGAAAACTACAGTTCATTCCTCTCTAAAGAAATACCCGTCTTCGATCTTCTCTTTATTTCAGAAGATTGTTTTATTCGATTCGCATAATCTCCCTCCAAGGATTTCCTTCTTCATGTTCTGCAATGAATTTTGTAGAAGATAAAATATATCTTTCCAAGAAGATTGGAAATTCTCTTATATGAAAAAACCATCTATTGTTTCTTAAGAATCTTTTAATTTTTGCTATTAACCATACTCGACGAATATTTGTGGTCTTTTCTCGATTTTTTGATAAGTTTCTTTGAATAAAATTCCCGAGTACTCTCATCCCGAATCCTTTAAAAATATACCATTTCTTCCAATTCTCTACAAAAAAAAAGACACTTGCCCTCAGTATTTCTATTTTAAAAAATTATTTTATTCGATTCTCCCTCTAAGAACCTTATCTCCATCCTCTGTAGCAATCGATCGTCGTGAGCGCGAAAGAGAAACCGCCTCGATTTATCCCAGAATTTGTCTTAATCACCGGTAGTGAGCTGCCCCGCGAAGAATACAAAATGCAGCCGAGAGACGAGGTGCTCCATGATCATGTAAATAAGGTACGAAAATGTAGTTTATGCTACGTAGCCGAGACCCAGTTTCGTGTTTCCGGGAAAAACGGTAATGGATAGGGACGAGGGCGGACAAAGCGGAGGACGAAAAGAAGGGATTGCTGCGCCAAGAATACGTACAGCTTCCGGAATATTTCCTATTAGAACAAAGGAGCGGAATACAATTTCCCAGGCAGCATCGTCTACTGCAAATGTATAATGACTTTGGGAATCGACGGACGAGTTCCGCGAAACTTCGTTCGGTGTCTCTCGTTCTGGTTTCATAATCGCAAGATGGTACACGAGAGATCGTTCGTTTCGCTGTGGATCGCCTCGATAATTGTCCCGGCAATTACACACTTTACAATCTCTCTCGTCGTTGTCATCGTCGTCATCGTCGTCGTCGTCGTCGTCGTTGTCCTGGGTGCTTCGCGACTGCATCAGCGCAGCAAGATAAGCTTCCCCTTTCCACCTCTTTGGAGCGTGGCATGGAAATTATGCGACATAATGAAATTCATCGATCGAAAGGCAATTTTGCGCGATGCCAGCGTACTCCAAGTCACCGGTATTATTTATCGGGGACCCGTTATCGCTAATTGCGGCCGATATTTTAAAGAGAATGTGAAGCACGCCCGAGCATTACCAGACGTGCACGAGGTTTATCGTGAAACTGGATTTGGCTCGACTGGTTTGGCTCTCTTTTCGCTATGGTATTGTGCCGTTTAATTATTTATAGGCGGGGTACTTCAAGTTCTAATTGGGCAGCGAACCACTTGCTGAATCTTGATAGGATTCAGCAACCATTGTTACGCTGCAGATGTAAGGGAATAATAGCGGATCGTAGACAGGTACTCGAAGACCGTGAGCTCTTCCTATATCAGATTCCAATCTTCCATCGAACGATCTTCCGCCGGTTGCCGTTTTTAGGCGGTATATTACGCTCTTTGATATCGAGTAGTTGCGAGAATGTTCTGATATTCTATTATATAAAATTGTAACCTTAATATATCAGTGAAAATTTATCTTCTATTAATTATATCTGTTGTAACAGCTTGTTTCATTCATTCAAAAATATCAATCTCAAAATCACTTTCGACTCAAATTATACTCACAATAAAATTCTTCTTACAAACAGTTTAATCAGGACTGCATGTCGCAATACTTTTCACGTCGACATACGAAACACTTTTATTTTTAAAAACTACGTCCGAGCAACACGATAAAGTTTGGTTGCGAACTTTTGCCAATCACTGTACACTTGGCTTATGGTTCGCTTTCTTCAAATAACGATGGCAAAACCAGTAACCAGCCGACGAACTCGTTGACGCGAGTTAATCGGCGCGTCGCCGCTAAAAACAATCAGCCACGGGATCGAGTTAAATATAAAGTAACGCGAACGAAATAATAAACAGGACGCGCCAGAAATTGCGACGCATTTTAATGTTTAATTGGCAAACGTGCGCCGATTAAAAACGACCGGTCGCTGATTACCAGCGATGGGAAAAGGTGGAAGTGGAGGGAAGGG